TATATATATATATATATATATATGAGTCTGGATCATAGGGCTAACCAAGATATCAATAATATTTTACCCTAATAGTTTGGTGCTAGAAAGAGGGCCTGATATCATGAGAACATCCACCTACCAACCCTCTTTACGAATGCTCCAATGAGAAGACCTTATTTCCAACCCATAATACTCACATAGGAGGACAAGTACCATTCTTCCTATATGTGGATATGTCCACCTCGACAGAGATGCCAACGAGGCACTAGCTTCTATTCAACAACCCAAGCCTCTCATCCCTAGGGATGAACTCGACCCATTTTATCGTTCTTACCGAGGTGTTCTTTAACCTCGTCCATTAGGTTTAAACACTTATACGCATGTTGTAAGTTGTTTCCCCACTCCTGTCTTAGTTAGCCTAATAAACGATGCCGTCATCTTAATCATGAACAATGCCTCAACTACCACCGACATCGACATCTGTTGGAATCTCTCCAACTGATGTAATGCCAACATCTTAGAATCACTTGAGATCCACTACGATGGATGAGAGACATGAAATCCATTATGATAGATGATTTGAAACTTGCCATGACGGGAAGACCCGAGATCCGCTACGATAGAGAAGGAACATGAAATTTAACATGACGAAAAGAAGATTTGAAGCCTGCAATGGCAGAAATACTCGAGATCTATCATGACGAAGAAGGGACATGAAATCTGCCATGGCCAAAAGAAGATTTGAAGTCTGCCACGGTGGAATGACTCGAGATCCGCTATGGTGAAGAGACAAAAAAATCCACCATAGTAGAAAGAATATTTAAAGTCTACTACAAGGAAGACCCGAGATCCACTATAGTGGAGAAGGGACATAAAATACGCCATGGCGAAAATATGATTTGAAGCTTGTCATGGGGTAAGACTAAATATCCGCTATGACGGAGGCATAAGGCTAAATGCATATGAGATGCATAAGTTAGGAAAACCTAACCTGCATCGAAATAAATCTACTATAATAGAGATACAAGGCCAAATGTACCCGAGATATGTAAGTGAAGAAAACTCGATCAATCTCGAAATAAATCCGCTATGATAGAAATACAAGGCTAAATGTACCCATGGCACGTAAGTCGGGAAAACTCGATCGAGACCAAAATAAATCTGCTACGATGAAGGTGCAAGGCCGAATGTGCCCAAGACACGTAAGTCAAGAAAACCTGATCGACACTAAAATAAATACGCTATGGTTCGAATGCACTCAAGATGCATGAGTCGGGAAAACTCGATTGGTGTCAAAATAAATCTACTATGACAAAAAGAGCAAGGCCAAATGCATTTGAGATGTGTAAGTCGAGAAAACCTAATCAACATCGAAATAAATCTGATAAGACGGAGGCACAAGTTTGAATATGCCTGAGACACATGAGTTGATAAAACCTAATCGACACCAAAATAAATTTGCTATGATAAAGGCGCAAGGTCGAATGGACCTAAGACGTGTGAATTGGGAAATTTGACCAGTCCACTATGGTAGAGGCACACATGCTAAATGTATCCGGGGTGCGCGAGTTGAGAAACCCGATCATTACTAAGGAAAAACCAATGTGACAAAAGTACGAGCCTAATGATCTCGAGACACTTGAATCAGAAAAACTCGACCCATAAAAAGAGATTCTCGAATATTCTCACAACAAAAAAAATCAAATGACGTACTTCAAATCCGTTTTGTAAGAGTCCCGAAGCATGCCTTAGAAAGGGGACAAATGATAGAGAATTTACTAATAGTTGATACATAGATATCATGTGTCATTCAAGTCATCCTCCATTCGCCTACGTATATAAATATTCAAAGTAGAGAAATACAAGCTTACTTCTAATTCATTATGGTAAGGAAGACAATCACAAACTTTCTTCTCTCCCTTGATGATAAGGTAATCCCAAACTCCCTTATCTTTTTTTTTATGGTAAGGAAGGTAATTCTAAACTCTCATCTCTTTCTTTATGACAAAGAAGGATATCACAAACTTTCTTCCCCTCCTTTAATATATAAAAATATATCCTAATAGGAGGGAAAAAAAAAACTCTTTTCTTTTTTAAACTATTTAAACTCACATTTGAAGGTCTCGAATTACTAACTTGAGTGTTGAAAGCATTAAGTCGAGAAATCTCACTTGACCTTGGTCTTCATACAGGTGACACATCGGGAGCACAATACTTTCACCTCACAGTCATCTCGGAGCCACCTCAAAGCTACCTCGGATCCACTTCGGTGCCAACTCAGATCTACCTTGAAGCCATCTCGAAAATACTTCGAACAATCCTATACACATGGGTCTAGACCATTTTGGGCTAACGAACCCATCAACAATATTTTTCCCTAACACTTGAAAATAGTTGTTTGATAATAGAATAGTTCTTTCTAGACAAGATAATTAACTCATTAATTAACTCGATAAATTTTAATAATTAAATTTGGATAAATTTGACTCAAAATAAAATTCCAAATCTCCATCATGAACTTTCTCACCATGTTAACGTTCAACTTCTCATTTGCCACTTCATATATCACAAGAAGACCCATTTCTGAAAACTTAAACACCTAGTTAAAAAAAGACCATAAAAGTAGATCGAGAAGAAGCAGCTGTTCATTAAATTGTTTATCTTTCTTCTAATTCAGTAAATTATTTTTCCCTTCTCTCGTGGCAACATGCATTGCATGATCGTATGTCAACTGCAGTAGTTGCTTTTGTTGGCGTTCAGGATGGAAGATAGCTGCATTACATGCTATGTTACATTCTAGCACGTTCCAGAAAGTGCTTCACATGATGTTTGAGTTAACCTTTGGTCAAATGTTAGCGGACACCAATTATATTATGATGAATAACTATATATACATGTTATATATTTCAATCTAAAAAACATCTTCAGAGATTTAGAAAGCCATTCATGAAAGGAGTGTTGATTGATCGATCGATAGACTTAGTATTACGAGCCAGCGTGATAAGATAATTGATCCAAAATCAAATCTAATATGAAGACCTCATGTTATAACCAAACCCAATGAGATAAATGATTAGCCTAAACCTTGATATAATCAATAATCAAATCCTAGTAATGTGATGGTCTCATCCCTCCACCTGTACACCTACCAGCATTCCCAGCCGAAGTCGCAGCCCAGCTCGATGGTCAAAACACAGAGGAGGGATGACCCAAATTTAGCTCCGGCCTTCTCTCCAACAATCCTCTCAACAACTACTGTTTCCATCTTCCGGGGGGGTGGGGGGCGTGGGGGAGGGAGGGAGGGAGAGAGAGGCAAGAGAACAAGGGAAGAGAAATGATGAAGATGGTGGGGGAATCTTATTGAACACCAATAATTCCCTTCATCACTTCTCATCGGTTCGAGGAACAGTTGTGTGCTTGATGGGGTTGATAAGTTACACCACAAAGAAGAGCAAAGGAGTGATCGATTGCTTGTGTTGCACCAAATCGGCCAACGAGGAGAACGCAGCAAAGGCCGAGGAAAGCAGAAGGAAGCAGAAGCCTCCGTCGGACGAGAACAAGAAGAAGACGTGGAGGAAGAGGAAGTGGAAGAGGTGGTGGAGGAAGAAGCAGCAGCAGCAGAAGAAAGCGAATCATCTCGCCTCGCTTGTCAGCACCATGTCCTTCCGATCTGGTATGTCTTCTCCTCGTTTCCATTGTCGATTTCCTTGATCAAACCATGTTTTCTTCTCCTTGATTGTCTAGTTGATGATTAGAAGACAAAAGATTAGAAATGTGTTTTTGCTTTCTCTTGGAATTTCTTTGAGATGATATAATGAAGAACTCCGATTGCATGTCTTGAAGTCATGAACAGAGTACTTGTTGGATGAATTCTCTCTCTCTCTGTCTCTCTCTTTCTCTCTCTCTCTCTCTCTCTTCCTGGCAGATAGTGGCAAGCATAGGAAAGCAGTTGAGGAGATCCTATGCATCGGCAGCGACAACATCGCAGCTCATGTGTACACCTTCCGTGAACTGGCAGCGGCAACCCAAAACTTCAATTCGGAGAACCTACTGGGTGAAGGTGGATTCGGGAGAGTGTACAAAGGCGAACTGAAGGACACCAATGAAGTATAACACATCACCTCCGATCCTCCTTACATCTCCGAGCGATTCTAATGAGCTCCCCTTGCTACAGATCGTCGCAGTCAAGCAGCTTGACAGAAATGGATTCCAGGGCAACCGTGAATTCCTTGTCGAGGTCCTCATGCTGAGTCTCCTGCATCATCCCAATCTTGTCAAGCTGCTCGGCTACTGCGCCGATGGCGATCAAAGGATCCTGGTCTACGAGTACATGCCACTGGGCTCATTGGAGGACCATCTTCTAGGTTCACTCCTCATCGTTCTTCCACTTGTTCTTCCTTTCCATTCTTGACCATCATCCGTTCGATGAGACTTGCAGATGTATCAGCAGATGCGAAGCCACTGGAGTGGCACACAAGGATGAAAATTGCAGCTGGTGCAGCCAAAGGTCTTCAGTACCTGCACGAAACTGCAAACCCTCCGGTGATCTACAGAGACTTCAAGGCATCAAACATACTTATCGACGAAGACTACAACGCCAAGTTATCGGATTTTGGCCTTGCCAAGATTGGTCCGGTCGGAGACAAGAATCACGTATCCACCAGGGTGATGGGCACCTACGGCTACTGCGCTCCAGAGTATGCATTAACAGGCCAGCTGACAAAGATGTCGGACGTGTACAGCTTCGGGGTCGTCTTCTTGGAGATGGTCACCGGAAGGAGAGCCATCGACACCACGAAACCGACACCCGAACAACACCTAGTTCACTGGGTACGTCCGTCTACCAGTCTTCTTCTTGGAGAGCTTATGAACGCTGACATCTTTGCACTGGAATGTGCAGGCAGAGCCTCTCTTCAAGGACAAGAGCAAGTTTGTGGCCATGGCTGACCCATTTCTTGAGGGGAAGTACCCCATGAAGGGCCTTTACCAAGCTCTCGCTGTCGCTGCAATGTGCCTCCAGGAAGAAGCCAGCATACGGCCGCTCATCAGCGACGTGGTGGTTGCTCTCGAGCACCTGGCCGATCCGAAGAACGACGACATCGATCGAGCTGAACAATCTGCACCAATTTCCAGCTCCGAAGTAGCGCAAGAGACTGCAGGGGAGGGCAACAAGGAGGTATTGGATTCAACCAGTGATCAGGAAAGCTATTCCTTCTCGAGCAGGGAGAAGGAACTGAATGAACTTGACGTGGTTTAGCACCGCAACGCAAGAACAAGATGGAATGGTGTGGAATTTGATGCGAACTGTTTACCTTATTTGCTGGATTGGGAGGCTTCGAAGGCCTACTTGTATTAATTCCATGAGACATGAAGGGTAGAACTAGGATTATGCACTGCATTATAGTTGTCTGAACATGTTGTGCATCTTTGTGTGCTGCAGCATATCCGGTGACAAAGGTGAAGTGTTTGCCACAAAGGGATTGCCTTCGCAGTGTTCTTCATCTGGAAATGCTGCAGTAATATATTTACTGTTCACATATCATCAACCGATTGTTCTGCAGTTGTTTTTAAGATCAAAAAATAATTCCAATCACCAAAATAAAAATGAACTGACCACTCCATTAAGTCTCCTTCGAACTCCCATGGTTTCTTGCTCATACGACTACACGCTGTTCATCTGTGTACAAGACGCACACGCGATCTCCCGTTCGGTGTCTCTATTATACACCGTGTCTCGGCGTAGAGTCTCTCGCACACGATACACTCGTTTATGCATGATATCTTCGTATATGGGAATAAGACGGTAACTCAGCCTCGTCTTGCGCTCGACACGGAGGAATCTCCTCTTCCCTTCTGTTCTATACACTGTGTCTTATTGTATAAGAATTATACGCGATATTCTTCTTCCGGCGTTCGCATCAGTCTCGCTCGCTCGCTTCTGCGTCCCAAAACAATGGCGAACGCGTGGAAGAGGGAGAAGCCCTCGCCTCTCCGCTCCCCAAGAACCCTAGTCTCGATCCTCCTCCCCATCTCCTTCCTCCTCTTCCTCTTCCTCTTCCTCTTCTACCCGATCTCCAAATCCAGCCCCAATCGCGCCCGCGAGACCCTTTTCGTATCCCCATCTGGGATCCGGCCCTTCGACTGCCGCGCCTGCCCGCAGGCGTCGCCGGTGTTCGCGAACCTCGTGGAGGGCGTCAAGCACCCCTTCCTCTACTCCCTCGCCGACTTCGGTGCCCTCCCGGAAAAGCCCCACAAGAACATTGCCCGCATGCTCAAGGGGAAACCCTTCCGTCGCCCCGACATCTCGGCGACGGTACAGGAGTTCCTCGAGGGGAAGGACAAGGACGGTGGGGTGGTGGTGGACGTGGGGGCGAATGTGGGGATGGCGACCTTCGCGGCGGCGGCGATGGGGTTCAGGGTGGTCGCGTTCGAGCCGGTGTTCGAGAATCTGCAAAGGATCTGCGACGGCGTGTTCTTGAATCGAGCAGGGGATCGGGTGACGGTTTATGCCGCGGCTGCCTCAGATCGGATCGGAAACATTACATTCCACAAGGTAATATATTCTTCTTCTTCTTCAATTTTCTGGCATTCAATTCTGTAGGTGTTTTCATGTGCATGTAATCCCTTTAAAGTGACCGAATAGTGACTTTATACGTGATTTTATTTTATTTTACAGAATTAGAAGCTGCTTGTAAAACATTCTTGTTCTATGACAAACTCACCATAAAATCAACATCATCAGATGCTTTTCATGACAAATGATGCCATATTTGATATAATTTCCGGTTTGTGTATCAGTTTGACATCTCAAACGAACACAGGCTTTTTGTAGTTGCACTATGCCAATTAAATTTCTATGAGTAGACTGCTCCCATAAACTACTATTGATGGTTGCATATTACAATCAGGCAAACTAGTTTGGTTTAGCAGATTCTTAGATCACCACATAAATGAAACTCATACCATATTCTGTATTAAAATAGTTGTAAAATCTTTGATATCTGAATGAATTAAAATAAATGTCAGTTTCGAGAAAAAATAAATGTCTTATAGGAGGGAGAGGATTGATAAATTATGCTGGCAATATTTATGTGGGAATTCACATTGCTATAAATGCTACTTTGTGTATTTTCACTAACTATAATGAAATCAGCATTTGTAAAGATTTAATTCTTGGAAATATCCACGCATAGGTAATTTGTTAAAGCGACTCATTCTTGAGGTAGACTTCTTTTGTCATGTGGCTAGGTGCTTTTGGAATTCTAAGCAAGAAGATCTTGAATCCATATTGTAGATGGATATTTCAAAGAATATAGTTGCCACTACACTGAAGATTTTTGAACCCTTGAAATTTGTTTTCTGTTTATATGTTTTTGGATTATGTCTGTGGTACATAAAAATTATCTCAAAGTTATTTTCTGTTTTTGGATACAATTGACTCTAACATTTTAAGTTGAGTGGAAAAGTATCCAAATTTCCAATTATCTATAAGAGTTGCTTTTCTATTTATAAATTTAAGGCCCATGTAGTAGGTTACATGACATCTATGATATTCTAAGATCTTTCTTTTCTGTTTTTGCACCCTATGATCCTCCTTCTTAGATTTGTTCCATCCTCTTAGCTCACAAACTTTGAAGATGGTAATTCTGTTGGTTGGAACAGCCAGGACCAAATAAACCTTAATTTGATGGGCTTTGGCACAATTGACTCCATCATGCTCCACACTGGTGTTCTACTCTTTGTAAATAAACATTGGTGTAAACAAGTTGTAGAAAATTGCTGTTAATTATGACATTATTTTCTCCATACTGATGTTGCCGATGCAAAATTTTCCGGCCATGCATTTATGCTGAAAAAAGAAGTTTGAAACATGAAATCTGTGTAGGTCTCTCTTACCGGAAAACTTTTGAACTGGAAAATTTACCATCTGGAAAGATCTTATGTCTTCGATAAGTCTTCCCAGCAAGTCATATTAATCTCTCATTTAATTAAAGTAGCTAGCTATTTCGGTTTCTTACTAACTTTTGCAATTATAGCTGATTGTAATTAATTCAACCAGTTACAAAAAAAAAAACAGCTCTACTGATTTGCAAATCAGAATTGGGTGAGTTTGAATTTGTAAAAGCCTTCTATTACTTTTAAAATGTCATTCCTGAAGATCACATACTAATTGAAATGCTTTTTATGCTCATCTTGATGATTCAGTTGGTTGGCCGCCTTGACAATAGTGCAATCTCTGCAACTGGTGCAAAGCTAGCATTCAAGTCTAATGAAGAGATTGCTGTGGAGGTGGCAACAGTCCCATTGGATGAAGTCATTCCTGACACAGAGCGAGTGCTACTAATTAAGATTGATGTCCAAGGCTGGGAGTATCATGTTCTTCGTGGTGCCTCCAAGCTGTTGTCAAGAAGAAAAGGTGAAGCGCCATACCTCATCTATGAGGAAGATGGGCGGTTGCTGCAGGCAAGCAACACTACTGCAGATGAGATCAGGAAGTTCCTTGGCAGTATGGGTTATCACCACTGTACTCGGCATGGCACAGATGCTCACTGCATGAAAGATTAGTTAATGAATTGCTTGTGCCAGCCTCTAAATTTTCTCGAACTCAGGCACTGGACACATGGATCGGGAGTAAAGCCTATTGCAGCAACTGTGATGAAAATCGAAGTAATTATCTCCGAAAGGGCTGCCTTCAGAAACATGAAAGGAAACTATTCATTAATTTGTCTGATTGTAGACCGGAGTTTTAGAGTTGGGTCATCACGCCGATCCCATGTCATTGTCATCTTCTCTGTGACAGTTCTTTTCATATCACTCTCTTTCTCTTTCTTCCTCTCTCTTCCCTTTCTTCTTCTTCTGTTTCCTTTACTCTTCTGCTTTGTTTCCTTTGTTTCAGTTCTTTCTTCTTTTCTTTTCTTTTTATTGCTTAAAATTGTACTTTTTCAATTTGATCCTTCTCAATTTTATATTTACAACTAGGTCCTCTATGAAATTATGACCATTACAATAACTGCCACATCCATTTGTCGTATAATGTGTGATGTTTGTCAATGTGGATGAATTGACCTCTCAGGTGTACGAGTCTGCAGGTGTCTATAAATGCCTTCACCAAAATAAAATCAGGCAATCTGATTCCTGAATTTGTTAGATTGGTCTGATCTTTTCATGGTGATCATGTGTTAGCCTAGATTTTCAGATGCAGAGCAGACCTCTGGCAATTGAAATGGCCACATTCTTGTGCAGGACTCTGTCTTCTTGGTGTCTCCATTTGTATAAACTACACTGCACTTAGATGTGCATTCAAGTTTCTCTGGTGTAGCTTTGCTTTTGATAGAAGTTTCTACTCTATAGTTATGCTCGAAACACTTGAGATTTTGACATGGAAGTTAATTATCCAGAAGGTATGATTCATCCAGGAGACATGTATGTCGAAGCTACCTTCTTGTTTGTATTCCCTCAACTTGTAATCTCATGTATGGTTGTGTAGTTGCTGGCTCGTGTTGCCTTCTGTCCACTCTGTCGTCATAAAAACATCAACCGGTTTACTCAGATAAACCAATGCATATTTCAGTATCAACTTGGAGAATGTTATTTGACGATCTGAACACACACTTGCTGCTTCTCTGCGTCTGGTCTTACTTCCATGATGCATTTTGATTGCACTTAATCCAATGCATATTATCTACATGTTGGAAAAAAAGAAAACTTTTGAAAGATTAATACAGTGGTGGAACAGCTGCACTACCTTTTACTTGACTAATTGAAGGGGCATGTGCAATGCTGCCATGGCCATTTATTAAGGCAGGCTATGATGGATGACATTACAGGAGTGCAGGAAAACATGCAGGGTTGTCTTGACAAGAACAGTCAAGGGTCCCTACATGATAAGTTTTCTCTTTATTCTTGTTTTTGTAATGGAATATCAACTATGACAATTTAATTTCATCACTCCAACTTCAATGGTTTCTCTGTTACAATGCATGGTTATATAGATTTGGCAGCCAAAGCAAGAGTACATTTATTTATGTGGTCCAGTGAGTAACAAAAGCATGATGCTGCTGCTCAGGCTAGGCTGTCTCCTGCTTTAACCTTTTAGATGGCTTATTTTTATGCCAAAAAATTTACTCATATATTTGTTGATTGCAGTAGGCATAGATTAAAACAATCAGCAATCAAACTAGTCTCTATTTCCACTTTTTGATGACTGTTTCTTTTCTTTCTTTTTTTTTCTTGACAAAAAAATTGTAATCAATGCTTTTGTGCATTGTAGTAGTCAAACTAGTCTTCATGTGGAGAACAGCTTTGAAACTCTAGAAATGAATGGTTAGGTGACAATGCCATGGAAATGTCTTCATGAGAAAGCATGCATCTAAGAACTAAATACCATCATTCCCTTGTGAAATCAATTATTGAGAGATGGTCGGTCATCATGATGATCATAACATTAATTCTAACATACATGAGATCGAACATTGATCCAATTTAAAATTGATATATGTTTCTTTTAATTCTTAGTAATATGAAACTATTTTTTTTATTTTTTTATTTTTAATCTTCATCTCATGCAAATATTAATTATATATCGTTAGTCGACAGGGAGGGAGACATGGTGGAAGAAATAAATTCTCATAAGATCCGGTGATAGCGACTGTCACCCCTCAATAGATTGCGTTTTCCGACCATCTCATTGAAAACAATTTATTGCACTGCTTTTTTCCTTTTGTCTTTTGTTTTCTTTGCAGTAATGCTTATCTTCTGGTTGATCACTTCTGCTCCTTATAATATAGCTCGATATTGGTGTGGTGAGATAGGAGGAGAGCCCCTGCAATCAATCCTCACTGGTACGCCTCTTCTGCTGCTCACCATCTTCCTTGTCTTGTCGTTCTTTTCCTTGCTGATGTTCATAACTTTGGACTTGTTCTTGTTGGATTGCATGTTGTTTGATGATGGATTCGACGTCTAGTAAGGGTTTGATGAATGAGATAGTGCTGTTAGGGCTTTGATGACTCTTATTGTCAGTGTTATTCACTGTAAGCTGCATTTTGGTTCGATCCCCTCAGTCTCTTTGATGTTCTATTTTTTGACCTTTTTTCTTTATCTGAATGCTGTATAGGATGATTAATTTCAATTGATGAAGTTTGTAGCAAAGAATAATATCTTTTTCCTTATACTTGTCCAAAGGAAAAGAAAAAGTTCTTATGTATAATAATAATAGATGATTAAGATAATAAGATCATAAGTAGTTCTGCTGCTTGGTTTCTGTAGCAGTGGACAGAGTATTACTACGATATCATTGTATTTAGTTTGTTTTTTGGTCATTTCAGTATGTTTTCTTGTGAAGATTCATGGACCCTCTTAATTTTTAGCAGTATGCATTGTGACCCTCCTAGTTTGTCTTCTCCTGGGAGTAACTGTGGATTGTGATCTAGAGTTAGACTAGTATCACCTGCACTAGAATTCTCTTGGTCTTAGCTTGCAGGCCTTTCTTGCTCACAAATCCGGGTTCAAAATTTTTTGAACTGCTATCCTTTTATCTTTATTAGCATGTGGAATAAGTTTAGCATATAAAGAAGTATTAGCATTGTATCATGAAGAGCAGGAAGCTAAACTAGTAATATAAGTTTTAGGGGGAGTCACAGAAATGCTTTGCAAAAGTTGAAGTTTAAAGTCAGTTCATCCTTGGGGCCAAAAATTATATTCTGCTTAAGCCGTGTAAATTGTTTTCTTTGACTTGATTCTTTCCATGATTTGGTGTGCTCCATAGGTTCTGCCACGGACTTTAAGATTTATGGTAGTCACTGGCCAAATAATGAACACTTAGCTAGTAGTACATTTTTTTTCAATATTGATGGTTGAATCTTTGATCCAAATTATGATGACCCAAAATATGGATGATGCTCATTGTCCACTCCATGGTTGATGTGAAACAAACACCGACGGTGCTTTTTTTTTTCTCGATTCTATTAGATTGTATGTTTTCCAAATGTCTGAAATTCTTTATAAAGTTCTTGTGCAAGAGGCTGTTGTCAAAGCTTTTCTTTTTTCCCTTTTTTGTCTATATTTTTTAATGTTTGCTTCATCTCAGTCAAATATTAGAACTTTCTGGGCAATATATATGGATTTGTGTCTTGAGCTGAAATCCACAATGTATATTCCTGATGCTTCAGATTTTATATCTTGCTAAACTTATTTTTATGTTGTGAAAAGTCGAGCAAGAGCTCAAAGCAGAATATTTTAATTATCATATTGGCAAAAGAGGAATGAAATAATGAATATGTTAAATTCTATAATGAAAAATTGTCAAGGTCGTATCCATGTGGAAAATAATTGGTCGAATTCATGTTATTATGCTTTGCCTTTGATCATTGTTCTGTTGTCCAGTATCTAGGGATTGATAAGTACAGAAAAGGGCAATGTGAGCATGAGATATGTCAAGTAACTGTGACCATGACTCATTCATTTTTCTTTGATGTTAGAGTTTACAAGATCTGAATTCATTTCATTCATGAAATCTGCATCAAAATATGAATTAATCCTTCCTTTGTGTTTACCATGGCTAGTTTTTATTTGTAATGCTGCACATTATGCATTACTAGAGAAACCAAAATCTCTTGATGCTCCCTGTTTTTAGTGTAATGAATTAATCCTGTTTATTTTGCTTTCCATGAAACTTTATCAGAATTTGTTGCCAGCAACCTACTGGAACAAGCATCAGATATAAATTTAGTGCAATTTTCTATCAAAACCAAGCTTTCCAGGGATAAAAGATCCCTTTTTCACAACATAACATGCCTCGGGCAGCCGATGCTATCCATGATGATGGAGGCTCTGTCAAGATCGGTGCCACTGGCACAATTGGCACCCTGATGACTCGAGAATTAGAATCCCCAAAGCATTCAGAACAAACTTCTTCCACTCGAAGAAAACAGCAAACAGTTCCTGTCTCCATACCCTGTGGTGCTAATCCTAGGAGAGCATTGCAAAGGAGAAACCAAACAAATGAACATGGCAGTATCCGAAGAAGTAGCGGTGGTAGCAATTCTGAGCAAGCACATTGTTCAAATCATGCACGACGAAATGGACACCGAGCTCCAATGCTAAGATCTGATGATAATCCTGTAAACCGAAATATGGACACCGATAGGATTGGAAAGAAAGCTTACACTGTGGAAATAGTAGATCTAAAATGCAGCAATCCCATGAGCAGCCAGCTCAAGAAGCTCGGCTTCTCCAAGCTTTCTGTTTCCACCTCCTAGTCCTCAGACAGCTTCTTTCCATCAGTCCTCAAGTTCCTGTAGCCAATTCTAGCAATCCTCTCAATAAGGCTTGTGTCAGTGGCATCCGTTGCAGAACAGATACTGGGAAGGAATCCTCCACTGGTTGCTGCTGCTGCTGCTGCTGCTGCCTTCTTTTTCTTCTTGTGAGCTGCTCTACTTGGGCATGGCTTTTGCTTACAGCTTCCGCTGGTGGAAGCCACATCCGTGTTCACTTTGTGCTCTTTCTGGTTGGAGACTTCACGGCCGTCTAGATCTAGCCTCCTGAGATACTCTATCTCCTGCAAGATCAATGATGCTATTGTCCCTTGAGCACCAACCTCCACCGGTGATGGCGCCGCAGCCATTGCTTTGAGGAAAGATTGGATGGTCTTGGTGCTTGGTTTTATGGAATTATGTGGAGGATGATGGCAGAGTAGCTACCATGGATTTGCTTTCTTGTGCTTTCCTGTCACATGACTGCTTGTTAGGAAAAGAACAGGTGAGACTGGCACTTGATTGTGTCATCTTCTGCTGGTATCCTCAACTGCAATGTAGAGAATCGCTTATCTAAGCTTGCTGTCAGTTCTTTTACTCGACATTTAGGGAGTATATTACATGCTGAAACAGCATGGCATTGATTTGTTTCACTGCCTTTGGATCCCTTCATTCTGACTGTTTGCATGAGATAGATTTGTCTACATGTAGAAGAGGATGTGGCACTTTTGTATCTGTTATCTGCTGCTGTGTCAGAATCAACTGTGACTCTATTATAAATCTTCATGGAAATTGATTGAGATGCTGTTGGTGATGTATAAGAACTTAGTGCTTGATGTAAAGCTTAACAAAATCTTGGTACAAACAGTGAGAATGTGACAAGTTGGCCCACCTTTGGAGGTGATTGGATTCCTCCAAAGATTTGCTATCATCTTCTTGCTTTCTCAATCCATTCATCTGTTTACTGTCGAATGCACTTTGTGGAAGGCTTTAACATAGACCTGGTTGACCTGGACATACTGAGCATGATCAACTACAGAGATGAGGAGTACTGTCTAAATTCTGATAGTTCTGTTTAGATGTATTGCAACATCTGATACAGTTTTGTGTCCAACTTTAGTGTTTGGGTTAGGTCTGATACAAATTCAACTGTTCTTGGATGTACAACTAAGACCATGATTGGATCTATTGGCAACTTCTCTTTTCTTTTTATTTGTCTTTTTTGTCTTCTGCAAAAATTACATATGACCAATAGAAGGAAAATTGAAGTTTGGAAATAGACCAATGACTCATGTTGTTAAGTTCATATCAGTTTTTGTCCAGAATAGTGAGGAATATATTGCAGATTTCCTGCATTATCAATTGAGAACAAGAGACAAACATATCTCAAGCCTATCTTTTAGGTTTTCAACTACCTTAAATTCTGATCAACCCTAGATGAGTCTGCTAAACTGTTCTTGCTTCAGATCATGATGTCCTAAGCAAAGCACTTAACTTGGTCATTATTGCTATGATTGCCACAAAGATAGCATGGTTAATAGGCTGAAATCCAAGAAGGTTACAAGTCAATTAAGTTCTTATTTGAATTGATGCTTTCATCTCCTTGTGGACATTCTCAAATACTCCCCTACATTTTTTATTGAATGAAATAGGAGGATACTGATCTAGTGGTCTACCATGAAGAAACATGTTCATAATAACTACACAAACATATGACTCATGATCAAATACTCAAATACTCCCCTACATTTTTTATTGTGGACATTCTCAAATACTCCCCTACATTTTTTATTGAATGAAATAGGAGGATACTGATCTAGTGGTCTACCATGAAGAAACATGTTCATAATAACTACACAAACATATGACTCGTGATCATAATATTTGACTAGTTTCTCACTTTTTCCATTCATGAAGTGTGAAGAAAAAGAAATCTGCAGGAAGACTTAATCCCATGTAGTTTTGTAGTCGTTGACTTGTATTGAAGTCAAACAAGTTGCATCTTATTTTTTATTTGATGATGCTGGATATATCCAATCCCCAGTTTTATCCCAAGCTTTGTCAGATATCACACAATCCTCCTAAATTACTCTATTCATTTGGTGGCAAAATCCTACTAAATTACTCAGTTGTGTGAGACCAGCACTCTATTTCTTTTTCCAATAAAATGATTTGCCGCAGACTTCTCTGTAAAAAAAATGAACATTTATGTTTTTTATTTTGCACCCAAAAACATCAGTGCCAATGTCAACATACATCATATCAGCAATGACTTGAAGGATCACAATTGCTCAATGAGTTCTTTGGTCATTTGGCGTTGACCATTATAATCTCTCATATAATTAGTCAACCATCTCATGACTAGAAGTTATCATTAAACTCACTGGATGATTACAAGTTCAATAATGATATCGAAACAAAAACATTGATTGTCTTCGTCTAGTTGGAACCTTGATCACTGTTCTTGATGAATTCTAATGACCATCTTGCAGCAGGAACGAGCTGGTAATTTGTGTTCTCTCATCCAGGCCAGAGCGTACGCAAGAGAGATGAACGCAACGCTGTTCTTCTCGAGTGCCACACACAGCATTAATGTGAACAAGATCTTCAAATTTGTCGCGGCTAAGCTCTTCAACTTGCCATGGGAAGCAGAGAGAAATCTGACCATAGGAGAACCAATCATTGATTTCGAAGTTCTTTTTTACTGGTTTTTAGCTTTCTTTTCACTGCGAGTGCAAGATTGCACATAGTAGCAAGCTGAAAAAGAATGGATGATGATCCTTGATATCTGAGACTACCAGTTGGTATCCCGCTTGGAATCTCCAATGTCAAGAATAGCAGGTCAAACAACAGAGATCGATAGATTATCTATAGACGAAAAATGTCTTGATGCAAAGATTTCAAAAGCATTAAAGCTAAGAAATAGAACATAATGATATAATGGAGATGTTGTGGTTGAACAGGACACTCGGGACTCATTTCACGAGGATGTAGCTTCTTTTCTTGCATCAGGAATGCAGCAGAAAGAAGAAGAAAAGAGAAGTTTCCGGCACCGTTTTAAGCAATGATCGATGAACTCTTTGTATAACCAAATGTTCACTCCAATCATGGTTGAAACCAAGAAAACTTGCAATCAGAGTGCTGAAAAGTGATGCAGTTGGAGAAGAAGATCAACATTCAATGAATTATTCAATTGAGTGCAAAATCTCCACAAGACAATGGTGAATTATCATAGCATTTCTTCTATTCTATGCAATCGTTCATCTCCTTGTCGCTGCATAATCTGTCCCAACCATTTACTCTTATCGTTTCTGCTTCCATGGCTTCCTTCATGTTGGCACTCAACACAACTCACTCCCATCTGCAGTCAACAGCTTCATTTGTTGTGTTCATTTGTTTTCAGAATCCAAGAGAAGCCACTGACGTGTTCGCCGATCTAAAGCTTGCAACTTGATGATCTATTCCATCCAATCGAGCTCTGAATCATCTTCAACTCCACCCCGACCATTAAGGCAGAGGAGCAAATTCGGTATTTATTTCAAACCTGAAGTTTACTATTCAGAGCCTCTTCTTATTATTCATAATTATAAATAAAAAACTATAAATAGTAATATCTTTCGAACCCAAACCCTAACTTACCGTCCTGGCATATAAAAGGGCCTCGAATGGGAGCGTCGGCTTTTCTTCCTACGCTTCGGAGGCGGCCACCCTAACGCTAACCTGCAGCCATGGTAATGCGGTCGAACTCTTTCTGCTCGATTCTTGTCCTTGTTTCGAAATATTTGATTTCTTGGATCTGTCGGATTTAAGATTGGGCTTTTAATGGTTCAGTGTCCGCATCAACTACATTTTTTGCTGTGCAAGTATGAGGTTAGAGAGATGTGGATGCCTATGTTTGCTTTCCGCCGCGTAGGCATTCTGGATGAAATAAAGGGCATTCTTTAAGATCCTTTGTTGAACTTTGCAGGGCTAATTGTTTCATGTGTTTAGCACTCTATGTTGTCGCTGTTTTGGAATGCATATCTAATTTGGTTCAAATTCAAAATTACCTATTTTGATATATCTTCTAATCGATTGAAGTCGTTTTTCTAATTTTCTGAGATCTCACTTCCGTGGATGAAATCGTTGCTCAAAGGTATTCTGAGTGCGAAATCCCTCTCTTGTTCTTTTGCTTTTTCGTGTACCTCAATTGATCTTGGAGAATACCAATCTAAGTAGAGTCAAAATTGAGCCTATTAATTCATTTTCGGCTCACTCATAATGGGTTCTATATGATTGTTTCCTTTCCCTTTGGGAACCCAAGATTGACCGTGACTCTTCTTTTATCTCATGCCCCTATCTCGAGATGCGTGTCAGGGTAGGGTGAGAAAAGAGTTTAGAACTGGTGTTGAGGTTGGAAATTTCCATGGTTCTTTGTTATTGTAACTTGTGTTCCAGAGCTTTACCTTCCTGGTGTAACAGCCTGCATGCTGCATAACCATAATCGTCGTGAGAGCCTCTGAATTAGAAATGCATTGTTTTTCATCCAGGTAACATTGTAGGTGTTTGAACTTCTTTTTAGGTGTAGCATTGTGTATATTTTTGGTTTGTGCTATAGATTTGGGGTCTTTTGGATCTCAAGTTTGACTAAATAATATGTCCGTATTGAATAGTTAGTGGTTTTCATATGTGACGAAGAGTTTCATGATATGGGCACTGTATTTTGGTTATTATAAGATGATTGTGGTTGGAGTTCTGCTAACTTATGGTTTATCTCAAATATAGGTGGTCATTGAACTTCAAGTAGATTTTTGGGTGTTATCATTAGCTGACGCTATTAATGGATGGGATGAGATCAACATTTCTTGTAGCAAAACTTTTCATTTCCTAGCTTTATTTGATTTTTTTTCATTTGTTTTAATTCCGTGATGTTGGATGTTGGACTTTTACCATTAATGTTATCATACAGGTGAACGTGCCAAAGACCAAGAAAACGTTCTGTAAGAACAAGGTTTGTAGGAAGCACACGCTTCACAAGGTTACACAGTACAAGAAGGGTAAGGATAGCCTTTCTGTTCAAGGGAAGCGCCGCTATGACAGGAAGCAGTCTGGTTATGGTGGACAGACGAAGCCTGTTTTCCACAAGAAGGTACTGCTGCCTGTTCTATGGTGATTAATTGAAATATAATTCTACTGATGCGTGAATTGATATTAGCTACCATTGCAGATCTCCTTGTTGCTTAATTTGCAATAAAAAGTTAGTTTTTGTGTTTTGACTTATCCAAATTAAACTGCACATGATTACTAGATTTCTGAGACACTATTTCAAAGTACTTGCAATGTCTTTTAATGACACTTTAGCTATCTATATTACTGCCATCTGAAAGTTTGTGTAGGTGTATTAAAAGTCATTGTATTTCGCTGCCAGGCAAAAACTACCAAGAAAATCGTGTTGAAGCTTCAATGCCAAAGTTGCAAGCATTATTCGCAGCATCCGATAAAGGTACCAACTGTGATCTTCCACTGCTTCTTTCCTTTTATGAATGTTTATTTGTAACAACTATCATTTTCATTACCTTCACAGAGATGCAAGCACTTTGAGATTGGTGGAGACAAGAAGGGGAAGGGGACCTCTCTCTTCTAATTTGTCTTTGTTGACATTTCAGCATTACATTTTTATGTGTTTATGTGAAATGGTAGCTTGTTATATGCTGATTTTAGTTTAAACTACTGGAATATCAATGTTGGTTAACTTTTGCTTGTGGTTTAAAATGGATATGCAATATTCATGAAGTTTATTTGGCTACCAGTTCTTATTTACTCGATAAAATGAACTGTACATCAGAATTTTGATTTAGATAATCCACCATGAATATGTTTCTGTACCTTGGTGGGGTCTTTATTATTTTAGGAGCCATATTTTCTGTTGCGTTAATTCTTAACATGTATTGACTGAATTCTTTCTTGTTTCGTATGAGGTCAAATATTTGTTTGAATTTATCCAATTTGATAGCCTTTTCTTAAACTCATAACATCAGATTGTTATTATAAGTGCTACTTTTATAAGACTAACCATATAGACAAAGCTAGTAGATCACTCCTAGGTTGTAGGTAGCCAGATCAAATCGGCTTGGTCGCACGTCGAATCCAAATCCAAACATGGAGGAATGAACTCAAGAAATTATTTCTTGGCCTGTCTTCAAGCTTTGTGGCTTCATCAATCCAGTTGCTTTATCAATCCAGTCGCAACTCAATCCGCCTCAAGGTACGCTGGCTGATCGTGCTAGGTTTTCGTGTCCTCGTGCTTGGAGACTTGTACATTATGATATGCATGTATCATGAAAAATCATCAGCGATAATGAATCTACGTGGTTTCATGTTAATTATCGATAAGATATTAGCATATATTTGACCTCCATGTACAAGTGTCATATAGTGTTGTTAGGGAAAAAAGATCGTTGACGTCTTGGTCAGTTTTACGTGGTTTGAATTCGTTTGTGTAGGATTGTTAGAAGTGTTTTCGAGGCAGAAACACACTTTTCCTAAGGTATCACTTACATTGAGGATTGAGGTCCGAAGGTTTCTTGATCTGATTCTTTTAATGCTCAAGTTAATAATTAAATGTATATAAGCATTAACGTGAGTAGTGAGAGAATTTCTCTTTCTTTCTTTTTGTTAAAGGCGAGTTTTATATCTAGTCGTAAGGAGTACAAGGAAATTTGTGATTGTCTTTCTTTCTTTTTGTTAAAGACGAGTTTTATACCTAGTCGTAAGGAGTACAAGGAAATTTGTGATTGTCTTTCTTATAGATGGCGAGAATGAAGCTTGTGGTAAGAAAATTTACGATTGTATTTTTTCTCGATTAATAGCATCCATACTTAAAAATGACGGGATATATTAATGAGTAATCATCCGACACATCACTTCTAGATGATAGGGGTTGTATATCCTTTTATTTATGAGAAGAAAGATAATCACAAGCTTTCTTCTTACTATTTAGGGATATCGTTGTTGTATTAGTCAACTCGATGTGGTCCTGACCTGTGTGCATATGATTATTCAAAGTATCTTCGAGGTGGAAACATTGTACTCTACATGTGTTTCCTGTATGAAGATCGAGATTAAGAGAGGTTTTTGACTCGTTCCTCCGACACTCAACTTAGTAATATGAGATATATGAGTATGGATGAGTAGTCAAGAGAAGTCTTTTTTTCTTTGTGTTAAAGGTGAGCTTTTATATCTAGTCGTAAATAGCACCAAAGAAACTTACGATTGTATTTCTCTTCGTAAATAGTGAGAGTATGCAATTGTCTCTCTTCATAAATGGTGAGAAGGAAGCTTGAGGTTATCTTTCACGTTATTAATTATGAGAAGGAATATGCTTATCCTCTCTTATTGGGTGCCATGTGGAAGTGATGTGTCGAATGATTAACCGTCAGTATATACCGTATCATTATCCCCCCACCCCCAAAGTGTGCTTTAGTGCTCTTTTAAGAGGGACTTGAAGTGCGATGTTTAATTCATCTGACACATGAGTGTTTAGGATTTCCTCTTACGGGTTAGGTTTTCCCAACGCGTGCGTCTTGAGCACATTTTACATTGTGTCTAAGTTGTGGCATATTTTTCTTCACGTGGGTTGGGTTTTCTCGACTCGTGCGTCTCGGACACATTTGGCTTTGCATTTTTGCCGTAGCAGATTTCTCTTTACGCAGGTCGAGTTTTCTCTATTAACGCATCTCGGGTGCATTTGGCCTTGCGCCTCTTTCATAGCAAATTTTCTTTCATGCATGTTGGGTTTTCTTGACTTACACCTCTCTGGTGCATTTGACCCTTTATCTTCGGTGTGACGGATTTATCTTGATGTGGGTCGAGTGTCCCGAATCATATGCTTTGGGTACATTTGGCCCTATGCCTCCGTCGTGAGGGATATATATTAGCACAAGTCAAGTTTCCCAACACACACGCCTCTGTTGTGGCGAATATACCTTGGCACAGGTTGAGTTTTTCGACTCACACGCCTCAAGCATATTTGACCCTTCACCTCCATCGTGACAAATTTACTTTGGTATGGGTTGAGTTTCTTGACTCGCACATCTCAAGCACATTTAGCCTTGTGCCTTCGTCGTAGTAGATTTACCTTGGTGCCGGTCGAATTTTTTAACTCACACTCATTGGGTACATCTAGCCCTACCAAGGTAAATCCGTCACAATGTACGCATAAGATCACATATGCCCGAGGCTTATGAGTCAGGAAACCCAACCCATGTCAAGGTATATCCACCACCATGAGGGCATAGAGCCAAATATGCTATAGGCGTGTGAATTGAAAAACCCAACCAGCACTAAGATATATCTACCACAACGGAGGCAAAGGCTCAAATGTACACGAGGCATGTGAGTCGGAAAACTTGACCTGTGCCAAGGTAAATCTGCCAAGGTGGAGGCATAGGGCCAAATGTGTCCAAGGCGTATGAGTCAGAGAACCCACCTACATCAAGGTAAATCCACCACGACGGAGGCGTAGAACTAGGTGTGCTCGAGGCATGTAAGTTGTGAAACCCGATCCACACTACGATAAATCTGTCACAGTGGAAGCATAAGGCCAAATGTATCCGATGTGTGTGAGTCGGAAAACTCGATCCGCACCAAGGTAAATCCATCACAACAATGGTGCAGGGCCAAATATGCCTGAGGCGTATGAGTCAAGAAACTAGACCCACGCCATGGTTTATCTATCATGGTGGAGGCATAGGGTTAAATGTGCTTGAGGCATATGGGTCAGGAAACTCGACCCGAGCTAAGGTAATTTTACCACAACGGAGGTGCATGGCCAAATGTTCCTAGGGTGTGTGAGTTGGGAAACCCAACCAGTGCCAAGTTAAATTTTCCATGGCAGAGTCGTAGGGCCAAATGCACCCGATATGTAATATCTCATTAGTCCCACATCGGAAGTGGGGAATGTGTATGATTAGCTTATAAGGGCCTGATGAGTGTAATCACATCAAATATTTAAGTTAGGAATGATTTTCTTTCCTTACTTGTTATTATAATTTAAGGAAATCTTAATCTACTTCCTTGTTTGTTGATATGACTTAAGGAAATAACTAGTAAGTATTTCAAATATGATGATATCATATTTGTTAGTATATTAAATAAAAATAATTTATATTAAATAAATACGAAAATTAAAATTTATTTTCGTTAATAGAGGCTCATATTTGTTAGTATATTAAATGAAAATAATTTATATTAAATAAATACGAAAATTAAAATTTATTTTCGTTAATAGAGACTCACCTCCTCCTTCGTTCCTGGGAGACAGTTAACAAGAGGTAGGTTTCCCTACCTTTCTTAAAAGTTTTAGTTTTTATTTTGATTCTTTAGATGTTGAAAGTTTTATAGTTTGAAAAATATGTATCAATTCTTTAAATGTCAAATTTTTTATATTAAAATAATTAGTTAAAGTTTTCATAATATTCTTTGACCCATGATTAAGGTTTTTATTGTAGAATTAAATATGTTAAAAAGGTATATGTTTTATATGATATATTTTCTGTATTACAGTTTATCTTTAATCTTATCTGGATTAAAATCTTGTTAGACTAGAATATATTATCTAAAATCCCTTTTTTTGATATTTTTTGATCTGAAATTTAAAATATATTATTCTGAATGATTTAAAATGTGACTAGAATATGTTGAAATTTTATGTTTGAAAATATGATTTTTATTTGAATTTAGAAAGTTATTTCCTTGTATTAAAACTTATCTCTAGTCCCTCTTTTAATGTCTTATAATTTCTAGTCAAATTGAGAATGTTATTTCTTTGTATTAAAGCTTTTCTCCTCATCTATCTTTTAATGCATTATTATGTTTTTATTTATGTTGTTAATGGGATGATTGATTGAATTTTGATCATGTATACATTTTGAGTTGACTTTTGGGGTTCCTATTTAGCGTTGCTGAATTTTCTTTGTTTTTTATTTTCAGAGCAACCTCCCTCTAGTACTAAGTCGG